CCCTAACCCTAAACCCTAAACCCTAAACAAACCCTAAACCCTAAACCCCAACCCCCCCCACCCCCCCCAACAACGACTTGCCTTGGCCTGGAGCCGCTCCGAATAGTCGGCATGGGCAGCCTCTGTTCAAGTTCGACAGTGCCTTTTAGGGTTTAGGGGTCTAGGGTTTAGGGGTTTAGGGTTAGGGGAAGAACTGGGTTTTGACTCGCACGCTCGCTCAAAGGCAGAGCTGGGTTGCGCTTGGGGGTCGTTGAGGTTGTTAGGGTTTAGGGTTTGCAAGGTGGGTGTTTCTCGGAGCATTTGGCATGTGGTCGGCTTTTTTGAGGGGTGCCGTCTGGACTTCGGTCAAAACCGGAAGTTAAAGAAACGTCATGATTGTTTCTATTCTTTCTGGGTCTTCGATGATACCTGCCCGACTAAAGCAACTCCACTCCAACAAAGGCCGGGAGGTCTTCTTTTTCGGGGGTTCGGCTTTCAACTGGCTTCGGGACTTTCAGGAGGCTGCCGCAGCGTACAATTCATGGGTTTTCCCAGCTGTGTTTTCAAGACAGGCTTAAAAACTCATTGCCGAAGGTCCCCCCCCTTTGCTTGCAGGTATAATTGGCATTCGGCCCACCTACACCCACCAATATTCCTAAGGAATTCATATCCACTGACCAAAAACCGAAGAAAAACACTGAACACTTTCAAAGCACTCAGCCTTTTTTGAACCTAGGCTCTGTGCCCCACAAGGCCAACTCGGAGCCATGTCCACACGAGCTTCACTCCAGGTGCCGCAGGGAACTTCACCAAACCCCAAACCCTGAATCCTGAAGCCTCTGATCCCTACACCCTTCTCCCTCAACCCCAAACACCAGATTCCGCCAGTTGCACCTGCAGCTCCCCGATGCACGACTTGTGGAGCGCCTCGACCTGCGCGGGGGCCGCCCGGGTAGGGTGGTGGAGGGGGGGGAGGGCTTCGGGCTTTTGGGGTTTTGTAGGGCAGGGGTTCTAGGCTTGAGGGCTTTTAGGTTTTACGGGGCTTTTAGGGGTTCTCGGGTTCAGGGCTTTCAGGGTTATTAGGCTTTTACTGTAGGATTTAGGGCTTCAAGGTTTATGGGACTTACAGGGTTGTAAGGCTTCTTTGTTTCGGATTGAGGGTTACTCGCGGTCTAGCATTGCTGGCCGCGACCCAACCCGTTACAAAACACCCAGAGCCAAAACAAATGCCCTTAAAACTATAAACCCCCGAGAAACCTGATAAACCCTACAAAGCCCATCAACCGTAACAGCCCCTAGAAACCGTCATAAACAGACGATGCACCCCCAAAAAAACCCTAAATCCGCGGGAACCCAAAACCCAAAACCCGAAACCCTAAACCCTTTGCCCTAAGCCCTGAATCCTAAACCCTGAACCCTATAAACCCTAAACCCTAAACCCTAACCCTAAACCCTAAACCCTAAACCTACCCTATAAACCCTAAACCCTAAACCCGTCGTTTGGTTCTTTTTGCGCGAGGCTCCCGGTTCCCCTCGAGGCGCTTCCCGCCGTGATGCCCTTCAGGCATCTGAAGGACTGACCTCCGCAGAGGGGGTTGGAGGTTCATGGGTAGATATAACACATCTATATCTATGTCTATATCTATATCTATAGTATACTTCCTTATTTGAAATTTACATGTATATTTGTATGGAAGTATCTATATTTATGTGATGAAATGTATATATGTAAATTATATATATATATATATGCACACACAAACAGGTTTTTGGTGATAAAAGTCCTCCAGAGAGGCCTGCTGCCTGTGGATCGACCCAGAACCGTACAAGCACCCTGGAAGCATCTTGTTTCTAGCCCGTGTCCCGCGAATCCATGTGTTCCTATGCTAGAAAAGGCTTAAAAGGATTCTTGCAGCTTTCTGATTAAGACCATGAGTGGGCACTGAATTCTTGGATCGTCTTTTCGGGCTTAGGGGCCCAAAGCCCCCAACCCGAAGCCCAATCCCCAAAAACCCTAAACCTTAACCTTAAAGACCTTTAAAACCCTGAAACCCGAATCCCAGAAACCCAAAACCTTAAAATCCTACAACACCAGAGCCCTGAACCAGAAGCCCGAAACCTCCCAACCACGCCACAGGGGGGGGGGGGAGAGAAGACCTTAGATCTAAAAAAAACCTGAGGCCCCAATAAGCCAAGCCCTAACACCATAGATCCTTAGAACGGTACGGAGCGCGTGACCACACATATATATATATATATATATTTTATTTATTTATTTATTTATTTATCGGTGTGTGTGTGTGTGTGTGCATCTCTCTCTCTCTCTCTCTCCTCCGCGTACGTTTATAAGGGGCTTTCGGCCGACCAATGCAGGGACCCTCGCTCGCCCGAGCAGCTGCTCTCAACCCGCCTTGAGGGCCTTTTTCCTTGCAAGCTTCTTCTTGAGCTTCACCTTGGCTGGCGATGGGTTTAGGGTTTAGGGTTAAGGGTTAAGGGTTTAGTGCTTCCCAAACCTTCTTCTGATCAGGAAGGTAAGAAGGCTTAAGGGGTGTCCCTAAACCCTAAACCCTTTTTTGCGCCAGGGCTCTCTCAAGTGCCGAGTTGCAGACTGCGCACACATGTTGTGCCCCAGCTGAGAAGAGCTGTCACGTCAAACCAGCAAAACTCAATACTTGTGGATCCCATTGTTTCTGTGTAGTCCCAACATGAGAATCTTGAGAACTGTGCCACAAATGCGGTGCACTTCCTCAACAATGGGGGGCACGCAAGAAAGCAGGCAATCACACCACAGGGGAGACACGATGCACTCGACTGCAAAGACCTCCTTCAACATATTCAGTCTCTGCAATCTGTACAGCAGTCCTTCGTTTATGTTGAGATGCACTGCCCCCGTGTCCCTGTCCAGCCAAACCATCCAAGGAGAGCCCTGAAACGGAAGTACACCCTAAACCCTAAACCTTTTTAAATCCCAAAGCATCGTAAGTTGGTGCGGGACATCCTGGTCTGCCGACGCCTCATGGGGATTTTCCAACATGCCCCTTGCATACCCTTAGTTGCTGAGTTCATCGGCCCCAAAAAAAGTGCACACTTTCAGTTCTATTGGGGATTATAGTATCCCAAGAAGTGTAAAGTGTACTCATTCAGCTCTAAGTACCCCAAAAGACTCTCGAATCCTGATATATGGAAACCTCCCAGAAAAAACCCCTAATTTTCGGAAAGTCCCCTTCGAGTTGTACCCTATACCCTGTAAACCCCGACTATATAGGGTATACCCTATATACCCTGTCTACCTGAATGAAAACCCTCCACGCCCTATAAGCGCTACTTTTCGGAAATCCTTCGGGTTAGAGTCTACAAGCCACCGGCTTCGGCGGCGCTGGGGGCTCTGCGCTGGCGGCCTGCGCTTTCTCTCAGAGAGGATCCGGGAGAGGGGTTTAGGGTTTAGGGTTGAGGGTTGAGGGTTTAGGGTTTAGATCGGGGAGGGGGCGCGGACGTGGACCGGAGGGGATTGGAACGCTGCACCATACATACGGGTCTTGCAGCAGTTCGAAGGCGGCGTCAGGGAACATTTTCGTGCTCGGGATCCGACAAATGACCTCGAGAATATTCCTAAACCCTAAACCTGAATTGACTTAATTGGTCTCTGAGGTTGCTGTCTGCTAGGGACACCGGCAGCCTTCCGATCACCCTGGGTAAGAGAAACCCTCATGTCTGTAAAACTTTTGGGTAGTAGGGTCGATAAACCCCACACCCTAAACCCTAAACCCTAAACCCTCAACCCTAAACCCTCGAGGTCTTCAGAGCTTCAGCGTGCAGGGTCTGCAAGAAACTCCGAACAGCCAGAACCGGCGATCCCAAGTGAAAGCAGGCCCCAGGCACCTAGCAGCAAAGGGTGCCCTTTCGGGTTTAGGGTTTAGGTTATAAGGCGTCAAAAAGGGGAAGCCTTGAATGAAGGGAAGAAGGGCCCACTAAGTCAGAATCGCACACGGCGCATAGCGGTCTTTCAACCGTCAACCCTCCCACAAAACCAGGGCTATTATACCCTAGAGGCCCTTAGAAAGGCCCTTTAAAGGGTTGATTATGGGGATTATAGGGCCCAATAGCCCATCCTGGAATACCCAATCCGGCACTCCAAGTCCTCCACTGTGTAACTTCAAGCCAATGATGGGCCCTCTTCTCGGCCTAAAAGGCCTCCTGATGAGCTGATGAGGGAATCCCTAACCCTGAACCCTTTTGAGCAACGGACAACCCTAAACCCTAAACCCCAAACCATCACCCTAAACCCTAAACCCTAAACCCTAAACCCTAAACCCCCCCTCGTCCCTACAGTGAGCCTCCTCCATGGGTGGCAAGGCCAGCTGCTTCTCAGGCGCCTTTTTTGCGAGACCACGAGATGTCGGCTGCAAAAATCTTCAAAATCACAATGAGGACTTCAGGGTGCAAGGTGTGAAGGTGGTGCCTGAGGCGCTTCTGAGCTTTGGCTTGGGGTACTTCTCCATGAGGTTTTGGGGTGTCTGCTTGAGGGTCTAGGCTGACTGCGGCCAGCCCTTCAGGAAAAGCTGTTGCACGCAACATGTGGCGAAGGTCCACGCGCAATCAGCTGGCGGGACCTCAGCTAGGCTTCTTTTTGTTCAGCAGCTGTGCCTCTGCAAGCAGCTTGGGGTGAGACGCCCTAGGACACCTCACCCAGGCAGATGGCGAAAGCACGAAGAGCTCCCGATTCCTGTCGCCATCGCCTGCGCGCAAGTCATCGCAGCCATGAGCCACGAAGCCTCCATGGCTGCACCGCTTCCGCTTCGACCCCCATCTCCGTCGAAACCGAGGCCTCTTGGCTTGCTGAGCCAGGCATTGCATTCACGAACTGCACGGCGATGGTTCGCGATGGTTCGCAGCAGCTGCAGGTGCGTTCTCACCCTGCAGGGAAATGCCCGAAATATTCACAGGCCAGAGTGACAGAGACACTGCCCCCTACAGCAACAAGCGCGAATCAAGAAAACGTCTGAAGTCCACCTGGCTCGGTCCTAGAGGTCTGCCGGCGCGGCAAGCTCGTCCCTGTTCCTCAAGCCAAAGACATCGTCCACGTATCCTCAGCGAGAGTCCATCCGTGTAGGGCTTGTCTAAGGCCGAATGCTGCGCTACGCGATCACGACAATTGAGGGGCTGAAGCCCTGCATATCCCTGCCTTAGTTTCATGGCTATTCTCACATCCATTTTGACACTCTTTTCAACCCCCACCCTGACAAAACAACCCTCCGGAAATAGCGATTCACTGGAGCCTGGCTCGCGCCCGTGGTGGGCCAGCATCGGCAGGGCGTCTAGGATCCGCCTCACAAAAATGAGGGGGGCTCGGGGTCCCTTGCTTTTTGGTTTACTTCCCAAGCTGGTCCCAACCCCACGCATGGATCGCATATCAGGGTACGAGAAGTAGAGTGGTTACGGGGTCCAGGCCAGGTTGTTCTAGTTGCGAAGCCTGGAAACTTAAGGTTTCGGGCTTGAGGGCAAGTGGCTGTGGGGCGTTCAGGCGTTCACTTTTGGGGCTTTGGGGACCATCGTATCGTGCCAAGCGTCATGTCCTCCGGCGAGAGTGCGAAGTCGAAGATGTCGGCATTCCTAGCCACAGTCAAGATCTCGGACCCCTTGCACTTGAAATCTTGAAGCCCTGTGGGTTGCGTGAAGTGCTTATCATTGAAAGCTTCAGTTCGCAATCTTCACCACAAGCTTAATGGCTCACCTGTTCCTTCTTGCCAAGATGCTCCCGGAGACGCTCGGGTCTCTCCGACTTCGGGATTACTACCTCAGGCGAAGTGTGGATCTGGGGTCTCAAGGCCCCAGTGGGCCTGGGTCTCAGGAGTTAGGGCGTTGGCGACATGCATTGAGGACGAGGTTGTACATAGAGTCAGGGGGATCCAGGGTTGAGGCTGCCTTCTCTTTTCGGGATGACACCCTTGCCAAATTCGGACTCGAGCATGGGCTGAACTGAGCTTCCCAGTACTCAGATGGACGTTCAGCTGACTGTGGACTTGAGATGGCTTGCGGGTTTAAGGCTCGAGGGTTTCGGGTTTAGGTCTTTAGGGCCTTCGTTCCACGAATTCTGCGGTCTCTATGCAACTGCCAAGCGCTTGTCAGAGCCCCCGTCGGGCACAACCTCATGGCTAAATCTGTCCGGCGCCTGTCAGCCCTTCAAACCCTCGCACGAGAACCCTATCTATCTATCCTATCCATCTATCAATATATATATATATATACACATATGTTCATTCAATTTACGGTGTTTTCGGGTGTATGACTTGCACGACTTGCACACAGGTACATGGAAGCAAGCAGAATAGTAGTGTGGACAAGCAGGGGAACAATAAATATACGTATTAACGCACATCGTTATATACATACATATATGTATATATATATATATATACGGTGCCCATATATACATATACATGTATGGTGCACAAATACATATATATATATATATATATATATATATGCATATTATATACATATATACATACACAATAACACCCTTACTTGCAGCAATCGGTACAGTGCAAAGTGTGGTGCCTAAGCAACTACCTGAAAGCGGCCCCGAAATAGGATCGACTGCCTTGCACCCCAGAGAGAGTCCGAGTGGCCGTGCCATGTTGGAGGGCGTGCCTCAGAAGAACCTGATAGGGCAAGGCTCCATTGGGTTTAGGGTTTAGGGTTTAGGGTTTAGGGTTTGGGGTTTGGGGTTTGGGGTTTAGGGTTTAGGGTTTAGGGTTTAGGGTTTAGGGTTTAGGGTTTAGGGTTTCCTGTGAGTTGGGGGCCTTCAGGAGGCAAGCGCGTCAGAAGCTGGCAGGTTGGGATGCAAAGTGAGCTTGGGATGGTCCAACGCATTTTGGCAGGACTCCACACCACTGTCTGCTTCAAAGCGCGGTGGCAGCGACAGTAAGGGCTAAGAAATTCTTGGGAATTGGGGCAATAAGTGGGCTCCATGATCTAGAGCCGGGGGTAGCCTGCTCGAAGTCAGCGCTGTCAATGTGCCTCCTTATAAGCCCACACAACCCCGTAACTTCTTGCTGAAGCCGCCGCTGACAGCAAAACGACATGTTGTTTGCCGAGGATCGCTTTCAACTCCGTTTGACACAAGCTTGCTAGTAATTTATTTGGGAGTGAGCTGAGGGACAATATCGCAACCTGAAACCCTAAACCCTAATGTTGGACCCTCTTCAGTGTGTTCGGCCCCACCCCCCAGTAAACCCATAATCCCAGCAAGATGCCCGCGAAGGCAGAGCACCTGCGGGCTACAAACCTGACGTAAGCCGTACGTGCACTCAGCTTGAACCAATGAAGCTGTCGACTATTTGCTTAAGCGCCCGAAAACATGTAGAGAATCATCCCTGTCTTGCCCGTATAGGGAAGGGCCTTGTTTTAGCTTTTGGGGGGATTGCGATTAGTAGCTTTCAGAAAAGCTGACGAATCAAACCCCTGCGCCCTGGAACCCAACAAACTCACACAAGGCCGACCTTCGGGACCGAATGAGCCCTAAAATTGTGGTCATACACCCTCCCTATACCACTATAATCCCTACGTGAACCATAAACCCGTTTAGGGTTCATATACCCTCTACTACTAGAATCCTTTTAAGGTACATGAACCATAAACCTTTTTAGGCTTCATTTGGTCCCCTCTGCCTGGGCAACAGTTCTCCTGCAGTGCGTTGCAATGCGCCGCACAAACGTGTCCTCGAGAGGCTGCAAGAGGTGTGGATACCTGGAGCGTGGAGCTTTTCCCTACTACCCCCCAGGTTCTCCCCCCCCCCCATAGTTAAGGCTTTTTAGAGGGCGGAACCTCGGGGGGGGGGGGGAAGTATAGAGATGTATAGAGGGGGGGAGTAGGGAAACCCATGAAGAATGTAACGCTGACTGCTGCAGTAACAATGGTGGGGGAGGGGGGAGTGATCATCAAAGAGGGATTACTGTATAGGGCTTGTATACGTTAGAAGGCTTACAATACCAGTCAAAGGCTCACTGCATGTTTCAGCCGCGGCACGCGTCTAGGTTGCAGTAGCCCATGACGACTCGGCCCTGTTCGCGGAAAGCTCTGGCGATGTCCTGAGCAAGACCTCTACCCTATAAACCAAACACCCACTTTTGGTCCCTAAACCCTCTACACCATAATTTGTTCAACCCCTCCAAGTCCTCGGTCTCGAATCCATGCAAACCTATACTGTATCGACCCATACGACACTAAAACTCCTCAACTGCACACTTAACCCCAGTTTTGACACCCAGTTCACTGCACACTTGGAAGGAACCACCAACCTGCCATATCCATCCAACCCATCCAACTTTGCAAAGCGACTTAGATACAACCCCAGCCCTAAACTCCATAACCTTAACACCCAAAACCCTAAACCTTGAACTTTGAGCGACACGAGTTGGGCCAGTTATCCGAGGCACTCGCGCCGGATCCACCGGAGCCCAGCCACGGTGGTAGATGGAGAACCTGAGCAGACTGCACGAATGGGCTGAAGATGGCAATTTCAATCATAGCACTGTTGGAGAAGCATGGCTTTCATGAAAAGGTAGTGTAAATTTCAAAGAAGTAATCAAAGCACCAAGCGCAGAAGTCGGCCTTTTTGTGTCCGTGGGCCAGCGCTTTGCGTCTGGTTTAGCGATGCTTTGGCGGAATGACAGCGATGCTGTGCTCAATGCTGCAATGGTATGAGACCAAGATGATGGTTCCGGATCCACCGCATGATTGTGGCCAGACCGACACGCCGGCACCGTGGATGCCGCCGGCACCCATAGCTGCACTCATGGGAGCCACGTGCCCGTGGAACAGCTTGGCTTTGCCACCGCATGGAAAGCCTCCATGTTGCCAGCCACCCTGATGGCACACCTTGTTCTCCATCTTGGACTTCAACGACTTGCCATAGCCACTTTGATATCGGAAGTGGATGTGGAAGCGGCTTTGAGTGCGAAAGCCTTTGGGATTTGTGATGATCACGCAGTTGGCGCCGCCGCAATGGCCCCACGCAGCGTTCATCAGGCTGTCATAGTAGCCCACGTTCCCACCATTGATGCTCTCCATGCCCACGGCATCACCATGTCCGGAGACAACCATGTAGGGATGTGGCAGTCCCATGATGCAGTAGGAGCGGTGCTGGCAACGAGCGGCCAGGTAACCATCGGGTACCTTGGGGACAACATGAACCCTAAAGGGGTTTATGGTTCATTTACCTTAATGGAAATTGTAGCAAGAAAGGAAGAGGACCCCAATTTTAGGGTTCATTTGGTTCTCAAGGTACTGAGGGATGATAGCTGGAGCCAAGGCTGTCGTCTTCCGCCCCAAGACCGATCCTCCCATCATCTTCAGGGTCTTCCTCAGTCCAGAGCAACATGGTTGTGGTGCTGGTTCTATTGCCAGCAGCTTAGAACTACAAACCTAACCAGAAACACACACACACAAAAAAAAAAAAAAAAACAACAAAAACGTACTTCTGAAACAGATCCCAGACTCCTTTAGCTCAGCTTGCCCGATCTGCAACGCATTGAGAGCGCATTGCCCGTCGCCTTCCAAGCACTCGTCATCACGGGTGAGGCTTCCCTTCGCAACCTCCAGCATGACATCCTCAGCCAAAGCCAAAGGGATACAAAATGCAAACGCTTGGAGAAGCATGGTTTCTTCTGCTTCTCGGATGTGAAAAGAACTGTGCGCAGGTCAGAAAGCTTGAGCCAAAACCACGTCCAATCGGAGCTCTCAAGGTGGTCTTCCGGTGTGCAAGCAAACCAAGGCATCGCGAGGTGTAGCATCACACATATAAAGAACTAGCTCTAGACAACCCTATAAACCTCTGCATCCTACAGCTCCAACACCCTGAGCTCTAGACCCTAGATCTAGACGCTAGACTCTTTTAAAACCCTAAACTCTGAACCCTAAACCCTTTTTAAACCCCTAAACCTGCAAAGCCAAACCCTAAACCTGAACCCTAAGATGCAGGAGACCCCTTCAAGAACCCCCCCCCCAAAAGAAGCAGGAAACCCTTAAACCTTTAAAGCCCTATAAACCCTAAACCCTAAACCCTCAAACCCTTCAGAACCCCCCCCCCCCCCCCTCCACAAAAAAAAAACAGGAGAGGAGCTTGTTCTGCACCAGGTGGGGCGCAATGCGGACCTTCTTGACGAAGCGAGACCTGAGGTGCAGCTGGGGTCAGGTTGGGCGCGTTCTTTTGGCCAGCTAGGGTTTAGGGTTTATAGGGTTTAGGGTTTAGGGTTTCGGGTTTAGGGGTTAGGGGTTTAGGGTCCAGGGTTTGGGGATTGCCGGGTCGGGGATTCCATCAACATCTCCCACGACAGTGCTAACAGCGCGACGCTTGCGAGGGCTCTAGTCTCAGCAGATGCTGGATTGCTCAAGTCTCGAACAGGTGCCGGGTCTTTGGGTTCGTGGCTCCAGCTTCATGTAGCCTTTCGGGCGAGTCCTCTCATGAGCCAAACGCTAAAAGTCAAGTCTCTAAGCCCTAGAGGCCCTGTACCCTCAGCCACATTCAGAGGACCTCCGTACTTTTGACATTTCCTTGCGGTCGAGTCAACTTAGGGAAAAGCCTATCTACCAGTACTAGTTGCTTAAGAACCCCCCCCAAAAAAACAATAATTATGAAGCTGTCCTTTACAAAGGAATAAAGGGTACTTTGGGTTTGTGACAGAAAGCCCAAACATATCTCCCGGTCTTAGCGTAAGCCCTAACAACCCCCGAACCTTGCAAGTCCCCCCCCAAGCCGACCCTATTGAGAACCCTGTTCTTCATAGGAAACCCACATAGAAACCTTCGGGAATCTACAAAAAGGTAGGTTTTGTGTTCTTCTGATATACTCCACTCCCTCAGAACCACTCTAAACCCTAAGCCCTAAGCCCTAAGCCCTAAGCCCTGAACCCAAAACCCTTAAACCCTAAACTAAGCCCTGGACCCTAAAACCTGAAAACCCCAAACCCCAAGCCCTATGCAAACCCTAAACCAGAAAACCCGAAAACCCTAAGCCCTAAACCCCAAGCCCAATACCCTAAAAACACTAAACCTCCAGAGCCTATGACCAGCCCCAGTGGCAGTTCGTCGAGATCGAAGTTGGAGACGCCGAGGGACCGCAGCACACCGGCGTCATACAGCTCCTCTAGATCCTGGCTCTCGGTTTGGGATTTAGGATTTAGGGTCTTGGGTTTAGGGTTTCGGGTTTAGGGCTTGGGCTCAGGTGATGATCCAGATCCCAAAAAAAAGAACGCAGGAATAGGCTTTGTTGCTCAGTTGCTCAACGAGGTGGTCAACTGAGTGTCTCTCCCACAGCAGTTTAGGGTTTAGGGGCCTTCGTCGGGGGGTGGGATTAGTTTAGAGTTCAGGAGGCCTGCAAGGGCTGTGGCCAAGAAGAACTCACCAACCCGTACAAAAGGAGCCCTCCTACCAAGATTTGCATGTCGTCTAAGGCCTAAGTTCCCGAATTCTGAGATACTGCAATTCCAGGAAACAACTAGCCCTTCGTGACAGAAACTAAGTGCCCTAAGCCTCAAACCCAAAACCCAAAACCCAAAAGCCAAGACAAATGCTAGCAAGGAGGCGCTGCCTAAGCCACCCTCGAGGCACGGGCCTTCCAGGCCCCAAGCATGCCAGGGCATGGCCCATGGAGCATGTACCTGTTGCAGAACTTGGGAGCCTCCGACAGGGTTTAGGGTTTAGGGTTTAGGGTTTAGGGTTTAGGGTTTAGGGTTTAGGGTTTAGGGTTTAGGGTTTAGGGTTTAGGGTACGACAAACCTAAACCAAAAAAGAGCCCAATCAATCCCCATCTCTTGAGTTAGAAGCATTCCTGCAAGGTGCTTCGCACCCTACAGGAAGCGTTGAGGGGTGAGGTGGGGGAAGGGGCGAGAGGGGAGCACTGGTCGATGTAGCTCGTCTTCAGGAGCTGAAGCTGCGCTTGGACCCTGTCCTGGATTTCTTGGAGCCTACCATGGGCTGCCAAGAACTGTCGAGGTACCTATCTTGGGGGAATTATGGGGTCCTATAAGACAGACATTTGCTGCAATCAAGGGATTCCAAGCAGACCAGAAGGTCGGAACCCAAACATACCCAAACATACAAATTGCAGCCCCCCAACGCTACCGATAAACTCACTAGGAAACTCACCGCCCCCCCCCCCCCCCACTCCTAAGCTGTCAACAAGCCAAGCAGCTCTTGCCCGGCCCCGCTTGCAGTCCCGATCCTTGAGGCTGTCACTTGGAGACTTTTCATGGGGTGGGCAAGATGGGCGGGTTTTGGGCTCCTGGAAGCTGTACCTACCAAGCAAGGACTTGGGACTACCCTGCTTTCGGACCAACCTCCAAACGTCCAAACCCACCCACACCCCGCAAAACAGGCATCTGGCCTTTGTGTTCTTTGAGCAACGGACTTTGGAAGCCCCTGAACACTAAATCCTACATCCCGAAAATCCTAAAAACCCCAAAGCCCTAAACACTTTGGCGGTACGCGATGACGCAGGGGTTGGAGCATATGATCCGCATAGCCTTCTTGAAGTGGCCATGGGGTTGAGGGTTGGGTTATTAGGGTTAGGGTTGAGGGTTTCAGTTTAGGGTACGGAGGGGGAGGGGGTGTGGGGTAGTGTTCGGTTTCGTGTCGTCCCCGAAGACGGACTTTCAACGAGACCAACCTCTGCATCGTGCCACCCAGGTTCTTCCGACAGCTTCGTCGCGATGAATATCTCGGAGCGCGGCAATCCGGACCTCGTGTGGGCAAGGTTTTGGGGTTACCCAAATTTTTATGGCTCGCAAAAAACGATAAGAAAAGCGGGTGCCACAAAAAAGGGAGCCACCAGTAAGATGTTGCGGTCACCTAGTCTTTATGTCTCACGAAAAAACGATAAGAAAAGCAGGTGCCACCAAAAAAGGGAGCCACCAGTAAGATGTTGCGGTCACCTAATCTGTATGTCTCACGAAAAAACGATAAGAAAAGCAGGTGCCACAAAAAAGGGGGAGCCACGAGTAAGATGTTGCGGTCACCTAATCTGTATGTCTCACGAAAAAACGATAAGAAAAGCAGGTGCCACAAAAAAGGGGAGCCACCAGTAAGATGTTGCGGTCACCTAATCTGTATGTCTCACGAAAAAACGATAAGAAAAGCAGGTGCCACAAACCCTAAACCCTAAACCCTAAACCCTAAAAAGGGGGAGATACCAGTAAGAGTCCAGGTGGCTCCAGGACGGCCTCGCCGACTTCGGCCTAGAATAGGACTGCGATGCGATCGGGGTCTTGCTTCTGAACTACAGCCATACTTCCCTTAGGGTTTAGGGTTTAGGGTTTAGGGTTTAGGGTTATAGAGCCTCAATATACATATTGTTTTGAGTATTCCCTTGGGTTCTCTAGAAAAATACAAATTAAAGAGCAGAATTCCTAAGGGGCCTATAGTGAGGTGGACTACCTGGACCCCACGAAGTACTGGCCTGCAACTTCCCGAAGAGGGGGCACCCCGAATATCCCCAGAATTTTTTTGACAATAGGAACCCCACAAAAATGGGTACGCCTATCTTGGGGAACCGAAGTTATGATTGGCTATTTCTGGGTCCTGGAACAAGTCAGCTGAACCCAAAAAAGTTGCAACCCTAAACCCATAAACCCATAAACCCCTAAGGCCCTAAACCCGAAACCCTTAACACGGAACCCTACTTAGTTGTCCAGTAACCTGGGGGAATTAAAGGTTGACCTTTGGGATTTTATGAGTTTTTAATACACCCAATTTTAATACACCCAAAAAGTTTAAAGGTCACCTACTCTACTACTAAGCCAAAACCCTAAAGGGAAGCCCGGCCTCGTTTCCGTAGGCCTGCGCCGTGTCGATCAGCCGGTACCCTTCTCTGAGTGCTGCGAGGATGGCACCCTGGGGGCACCGGGGAGGGGGGAATAGGGTTTTAGAGGGCTAGGAATCTATAGAGGGTTTTTAGAGGTTCTTGGAGGGTTTAGGGATTTAGAGGGTTTTCGAGGGTTTAGAAGTTTTAGGGCTGTAATTATGGGTTTAGAGGTTTACAGTGTTAGGTCTAGGACTAAACGGTTCCGAGCAAGATAGGGGTTCGAATTGGAATCAGGTGCTTTGTGGAGTTTGTATTGAAAGTGTACACGAAGTAATATGAGGGGATCACCTAGGTGTTCATCCAGGCTGCTGTGTCGGGTACACTCTAGTGGAGTTAGCAGGCAGGAGATACCGTCGGATCCACCGAAGCACCTCGCTGACAGAAAGTGGTGGATGGTTTGCTGCAGATTGCGGCATGTCACCCCAAACCCATTTTTGAGGAGGGACTGCAGTGCGAGTTTCCCAAACCCTAAACCCTGAAAAAAAAAAAACGGCGCTCATGAGAGCTTTGGGAATGCCAACTTGATCTCTGGCTGGCCTGGGGCCCTCTGCAAGAGCCTCAACTCCCCCAAAGATCGCCCTTGTCGCGCTGTTGACATGAGCCACGTGCCGTGAAATGACGTACGATATGGGGGTTGACGATCTTGGGTCCTTATTATAAGGAGATCCTGCCCATTTAAGGGTATATTTTAGGGGCCCCCTATTTTCGTAAACCCCACTGTGCTTTTACCGCTGTCAGGCCCGAACCCGAGGGCCTCAGATACACGGATGTTCATTGTACTTAACAACCCAATCATACCTGCACTTATAATCCAGTTGTAACCACATTAGGGCATCTGAGGGGCTTCTAAGTGAGTTATAAGTACAGTTACAGCTGGGTCTGGAAGTACCTTGAACCTCCAAGTAGCTCGTTGCTACGCTGCCCGGCCTTTCCGTTCTCACCGTTGAGCATGGTTGTGCCCAGACCCAGCATGGGCATCTCAAGGCCATTCGAGAGGTGGATGCTTCCTTGCCGACATCCATGTCTCAGCTAACTCTTGGGGGCTCGGCCTTGTAACATTCATCATCGCTCCAAAAGTACAACTCAGCAACCATGGTTCTCTTCAATCTGTTGCTGGTACGTGCCTTGCCTCGTGATAATAAGGCCTCCAAGCAACGGACCTTACAACCCTGCAAGGCTCTGTCCCATGTGGCTTAGACCTCATTGTGTAGACTCGTGTAGACCAGTGTCGGTTCACAGCGGACATTGCTGGCGAGCAATCGCGGTGCTCCACGACTGGAGTCCTGAGCATACCAATTCACATAAACTGTGTCCTCTTCACACTGGTCCATAAGCCAACCCTGAACCCTAAACCCTACCAACCCTAAACCCCAGCACCAAAAGGGAACACATGTCTGGGGATCCGAATGCCCAGGCCTCAAAGAGGCTAACCAACAGGGTTTAGGGTTTAGGGTTCAGGGCTTCAGGGTTGGGGTTCAGGATTTAGGGGCACTTCAACTTCTTCACGACATGTTTGTGGGTGTAGGGCCGGTTTTGAAGGTTGAAGATGTTTGGGCTGCAAGTGGCTTGCTTCTCTGACTGTAGAAGCTGTCGGCAGCACTGTTTCCGGCTCCGAGAAAGTGAGTTTTGCCGCCTGCATGTGGTTAAGGTGCAGGGCCTCGTAGGGTGAAGCATCTAGGCGTGCGGAGTTCTTTGTATATCTTATACTGGGATGTAGCGGGGGGCGGGGTTTCAAGAATCTGGTACCCGATAACGGGGATTGTCCTCCTTTATTTGGGGTATATTCTAAGGGGTACAGTATCCCTACTTAGGTGACCTTCGCGGGCCCTCTTGCACAGGTGAGTTTGGTATGTTCTCCCTAATACTATCAGTCCTTAGTAGGGACTATAGTAGGGGGCTCTATAGTCCCTCTAAAGGACGGCTAGTAGCAGCGGGAACATCCCAGATGTGTCTGCTAGGCGCCTTCAAGACGAGCATCTCATTTGCAAGCCTCTGGAGCTCGCCGACGATGTGATCGAAAGCCTCGCCTGACATGGCTGCTACCGACAATACTCATAAGCTGGGATGTACATCCCAACCCTAAACCCCAAACCCTAAACCCCAACCTTCTTTAACAAAAACGTCGTAAACCTCCAGCTTCCCTGGATTCCGCTGAAAACTTCCTCAACCTTCAGCCCGCCTGGATTCCCTGGAACTTCCTAATTAAGCCTTCAACTTCCCTGGATTTTTCCGGAATCTTCCCCCACCCTCGGGTTTAGGGTTTAGGGTTTAGGGTTTAGGGTTTAGGGTTTAGGGTTTAGGGTTTAGGGCTACAAGGCGCCTGCCGCGGCAAAGCTCCGGTGCAGCCGCCTCTCACTCCGCGCCGTGCGCAGGCCCCGGGCTGCTTGCCGCAAGGAGCCGGAAGCCTTCCTGGGCTTCGAGTAGTTTAGGGTTTAGGGTTTAGGGTTTAGGGTTTGTTTAGGGTTTTGATAGGGGCTTCTTGGGGGCATTTAGGGGCTTTTTGGGGGTGTAGGGTTTGGAGGTTTAGGGGGATTTCGGGGGAGGTTAGGGGATTTAGGGGTTTAGGGTGCTTTTTGCCTACTCTTGGCCCAGGGTCGGGGGCTTCAGGGATGACAGTATGTAGGGTTTGAGTCAATGGTCGTGGCCGTGGGCTGATGGCTTAGGGCTGAGCACCTGCCTGGCCACATGAATCGAACCGCCCACCTTATCTCAGGAAGAGAGCTGAGAGCTTGTAACCCTGAACCTATATGGGGGTTTCCGAAAGCAGGGGTACCCTTTTTGAGGGATTCTATTCTAATTATTTGGGGTACAAAAGGGGTACCCCTTTTTTGGGAAATTCCCATCTAAAGGTTCGCATGTTTTCCCGAAAGCACGGGCTCTGCTCCAGAGTCTAGTAGCATGCCCTGTCTAAAGTACCCGAGCCCTTAGTGTTCGGAACCACCCAGCCATACCCAGCCAAGCAGCGGGAGTGCCAAACGCGCCGCACGCAGCGCATAGAGCCAGACCTCTGCAAAGCCCGTGTTCCTTGCCAGGGTTTCGGGATTTAGGATTTTGGATCCTGGGTTTCAGACACCCAAAACAACTTTTTGTCGTTGGAGATTCTTCGAAGAAGGAAAGTGAATACCCCCTTGTGGTAGAACCCACGTCCAGGCCACCAGTCCAGCTCATCGAAGTGCGTGTCCTCCGGAAACTGGCCTCGCCGGGCGAAGATTCAACCACTGAATGGGGGTCTCGGGCTGGCTGCACTAAGTCAGGCCCAAAGGTTGCGGAGTACCGGGCTCCCGGAACTAGGGCTTGTCGTTGGTGTCGGTGGTAATAAAAATGACGAGCACCGAAACGCATGAACAAAAAGGGTGAGGTGAGCTCATGCCTCCTGTGGATGAACGGCATTCAAGCACTTTTTACAGGGTCGGTGCTGCTACTCGATGGAAACCGTGGAAACCCCTCAAAATCTACAAACCTGCATGGGGTTGTGCTGGCTAAATAAGGGTCCTCTATGTACGGACCTTGTAGACGCTTTACCTGGAAGAACAAAAAAAGGACAACCGCAGCCAGCCTGACATCTCGAACTTTCGCAGGCGAAAGTCGTTTCGCGCCGCGAGGGCTGCACTTGCAAAGTCCGCCGGCGAGGGCCTTGCCGGGCATTCGAAGAGGGTCGCTGACGCAAAGCAGAACCTTATTTAGGGTACTTACCACCCTACTTAGAACTACCTGTGAACCTTCAAGCAAAGAGCTTTGGGCCGGACTCATCTTGCATTCCCCGGAAGACTGCCAGAACGGTGTCCGAGGACAAAAACCTTGACGCATCTTTCCGAAACCTTTAAGGCCCACTACTTGGAGGTTCATAGCCCCCTACGTCCCCTAAGTATAGGTTATAAGTACACTTATAATTGGGGGAAGAAGTACCCTTGAACCTCCAAGTAAGCCTTTTTCCCGCAACCCGGCCTCCATGCAAGCGTTGGCTGCAGACCATCCAAGACAAGGGCCACAAGCGCTGCGGCCATGGCTCCAGATGCAGACTTGAAGTGGAGCATGACGGGCTTAGGGTTCGTAGGGTTTCTAGGGGTTTAGGATTTTTTTGGGTTTAGGTTTTTGTTTTCTGTTTTAAGAGCTTTTAGGGGGGTTACGAGGGGGCGCTTGGGGCATCCGAACACAAATCCCAAGTAGCACATGTTCCCTTCCATCATTATACGCCAGAATATATTCTAGCACATAGTGAATAGTTCTCAACTTAATTTTAAGGATGGGCTATGGTGCTTTTGCAAGTGTCTGCTGCGCCTGTCAGTGTCTTGTCGGATCTCTGGCGACAGGAATGACATGCGAAATCATGACCTGCGGAACACCTGCACAAGATCCTTGCAAGCGTCAGCAAGCACGCGCCATCAAAGTCTGCGCTGACAGGCAAATGTAAGGCGCCACCTGATGTCAAAACCAGCTCATACCGTCGACATCTAAGCCCTTGATCCGCCGAGGGAGCCGCGAAACCTTCGAGGTCCTGTGCTCCAAATGTAAACTGTCGTAAATAAAAAAGTTGAGAACATATTGCCCCTACACTACAGTCTGTGGATTCGAGCCTGTACAACAAGTTATACGACATGTACTTCCGACATATATTACAGTATGTATACCACCCCCAAAACACAAAAACCTGGTGGAACCCAAACCCGAGTAAGCCCTAAACCCTAAACCCTAAACCCTACCCCTAAACCTTATAAACCCTAAACCGTATAAACCCTAAACCTTATAAACCCTATAAACCCTAAACCCTACACCCAAAAAAAGGCCTCCAGGGCCAGAAGCTTCCGCTGCCGCCGTCGCTTCTGGGCCTTCGCGCGGCGGCCTCAGCCCAAGGGCCGTTTGAGGGCTTAGGGTTTTAGGGGTTTAGGGGTAGGGTTTTAGGGTTTAGGGTTTAGGGTTTAAAAGGTTTAGGGTTTAAAAGGTTTAGGGTTTAGGGGTTTATAGGGTTTCTTGAGGGGCTTTGGGGGGGTTTGCGGGTTTAGGGAGATTTAGGGCTTTCCGGGGGTTTTTGGGGTGGTTTTTTCGGGCTTTGGTGGCTTTCTTTACAGGGGTTTTAGTTAGGGGGATAAGGGGCTTAGTTAGGGGTTTCGAGGAGTTTGGGGGTCTACGAGTTTAATGAGGGGTCTAGGGCCAGGCAGAACTAGCCACAGGGCAACACTTCAGGACCGAAAACGATGCCTGTGAAATGTGATACGGAAACCTGGCCCACCAGCTGTACTCAAAAACTTACCACATGACCAAACAGAAGCGCTTTACCCATACTCCCCTTCGAACCTTAATAAAAAGTAATATGCTCAGCATTCCCTTGTGTTTTGTATAAACACAAATTAAAAAAACATATGGGGGCTATAGTTACACTCATACCGAATGAACAAGGTTTCCTGCATTGCTTGTCAGCTACAGCTGGCTACTAGGGGCAACTATATCTGCTTAAGCCAGGGCGTACGTATACTGTTTAGGGGCCCTTGAGATGCTTTTTGGTAGGAGCTGACCCGGAACCTTCATTGCCCCACTAACGGCCTGTAAAGGGTATTCTAGGGTGTCATTGCTTACAGGGTATTGAGGTCTGGCAACAAAAAAGGGGTGCAATGCTGAAGCACTGGCGCACGCATGCCTTCCACAAAACGCATGCCTTCCACAAAACTCTCAGAAGCACATGTTGCTCAAAGCCCTACAATTATCCATGCCCTCACGAGCCCATCCCATGCCACCCACTGAGTGACAAACACTTCCCACATATCCTTCCCACTGACCAGCTTTCAAGAGGGAGGGTCCTTTAGCGAGCATGGAATGCAGGCCCCTGTCTTCAGGAGAGACAAGGAAACCCTAAACCCTAAACCCTAAACCCTAAACCCTAAACCCCAAGCCCACAGCTCCCTGCAACCTGGTGGCTCTGCCCAGGTTCGGGGGCTTCTGCCTCCTCTTTTTCCCTCGGCAACTTCCGAAAGATCAAGATTCGGGTTCGGGCGCGGGTCTAGAATTTAAAGTTTAGGGTTTGGGGTTGAGATGGGTTGAGGGTTTAGGCCTTTTGGGTGTAGGGCTCTGGCGCTTCAAGCCCCCACACAGACTTCGGCCGGTGTGGAAGAGCCACCTACAAATCTCGGATGCCGAAGCCCTTCTTAACAGTCCTTCATATGGAAAAAAGTACCCCCCCCCCCCAATAGAATCCCTATTAAGGAGCTGTTAGTATAAGGGGGAACATCCCGACTCTCCAGAAGTGTGCGTCAGGCTTGAGTTGAAGATCGCCAAAGGAGCGCGCGAGACGCTTCTGCAAGCTCGCTTGCAGCCAGCTGTCGCTACAAAGCCCTACGTGAAGGTTTTCGGTAGTTACAAGTAGGGTTCTGAATACCCTAGATAAGTTCCTCACCCATTACAAGTGTTGTTACCCTGCTGATAACCCCACTTCTACCTACCCATGAACCTCCAAGTATGAGCTATTACCTCATCTCCTCGCCCGAACAACCCTCTCTGAGGTCGTCAAGACCCTGTGAAAATCCCACATGCGCTCTACAGCACCCTTCGGCACGCCGCCTCAACAAGAAGAAGTATCGTTTCTAAGATAGTGATCCTCGGAAGAAGAGTCCGCGCAACCTCGGCCCCAAATTTCCACAGCCCTGAGTTCCAAAACGGCTTAAAGACTGGGCTTCCGGCGCGTCGAGGCTCTTCTTTGACCGCAGGACGGGAGCCCGGTTCAGCAACACCTTGGGTCTTGAACTCAGAAGTGGACCCAGCATCACCCCGTAAACCTTAAACCCTCAAGCCCTCAAGCATGGCAAGAGGCTCGGGGGTTAAGGGTGGGGGTGGAGAAACCCTAAACCGGCCTAAACCCTAAAACGCTGCTCAGAGACCATCCCAACAACGACCTTGGCCCCGGTCGTCTCTCCACTTGTGAAGGTTTTTTTTGTTTTTGTGTTTTGACCTTCGCGCTTGCCTTAAAATTAGCCCCATTTCGAGAAACTCGTTGGCTTTACAAGGAATCGGGGAGGGTGAGTTCACGAAGCTCACCCCCCACAGCCCGACAATGCTAACCACCCCCCAACCCCTTTTTTGCAGGGACCCTACCCTCAGACCCTGACACCCCCCAAACCCCGCCCCCCCCCCTCCCCCCGCAGCCCAGCCCCGAAAACTAAACTGACAATCCGATGCCCAGGGGCGCCAAAGCCGAAGTCATCTTTGCCCGTCTGACACAGTGAGGGGCGTTTGCTGACCGAGAGGTTTCGGGCACGCGAGTGTCCAGCAACAACAGCATCCAGAGCAGTATTCCATGCCCTAAACCCTACGAGCCGCCTCAAACCCTATGCAAAACGGCCTGCGCCCCTTGGCAACCCAGTAACCATATTAGAATAAGGGCACCCTTTTTGGGGTTGGTTACTTTACAAGGAACCCAGAACCAAAAGAAAGGGTAACGGGTATCACCGGGCTACCAAGACCCTCACAGCTTCAGGAAAGCTCCTGTAGGGGCCTTAATAATTGGAATAAGGTTTTGGGGTGTAATGATAGTCTAACTGTAAAGCGACCATAAGGGAATACTATGAATAATTATCCCGACACCTTACCAGAACTACTGTACTCAGTGCCTTCTCTCGCTTGCGGCCCAGGCGGTTCATGTCTCCCTGCTCCTTGACCTCCTGTTCCAGGGCTTAGGGTTGTAGGGTTCAGGGTTAGATAGGGTCGGGCTGTCTTCCCCGTTGACATCTATACCTTACCACGAGAGGTCATTGCAATTAGGGCGCCCCTTAAGATCCGTCCCTCATGTTGCAGCTTGGGTTTGAAGTCTTGGTGTCTGAAGTCTGGGGGGTGCCTCCAACGGCGATGTATCAATTTTGGCCGGCATGGAGGTGTTTTTTCGATTCCTGAGCTAGGTCGGGCCTCTGCCTGGGGGTTGGGAAAAACCGAGTATAACAGGTGTGCCCATATAAGGGTAACCCCCCCACACACAGCCCAGGCCGAAGAACTGCCCTAAAACCCTCGGCATCCTCATGGCTTTGCTTTTGCTTGCCAGCACTTTGAAGCCCCGACCTGCGCAAACCTAGGAACCCTAGAAGCCCCAGAAGCCCGTGAACCCTCACCCCCCTGGCACCCCCCTCCTTCTCCGAGACCCTGGCACCTCCACCCGCTTCGAACCCTTTTTGCATCGGGAACCTTCTAGGGCCCTAAACCCTAAACCCCAAGCATCTCCTGAAGTGGACCCAGGGTATCCCAGGTCGGTCTCCAGAAAACATCCTCCAGGGGATTGCTGGCCCAAGAGATGGTGCTGCTCTCAAGTCCAGATCTTCAGGCTGTGGCTTTTTAGGGCCTTAGGGCCTTAGGGTTTAGGGTCTGCTTGCAAGGGACAGATGACGACACCTCAAGGTGGGCGGGGGTATTTTCTTGCCTACTAGAGGTTCAAGAGTACTTTATAACCCAATTGTAACTGCACTTCTGACCTACTTGGGGGACGTAGCGCCTAGGGGGCTTACAAGTACAGTTTGTTTGTTCCCCATATCTTTAACAGTCCTTCATCCTTCATAGGGACTATAGTACCCCGTATCAGACTCCCTATGAAGGAGCTGCATAAGGGGAACATCCCAGCTACAACTGGGCTTCAAAGTACCCATGGACCTCCAAGTAGGGCAAAAGCGGAGGAGCTCTGAACGCGCCGGAACGGCGATGAACTCCGAGACTTGTAAGGTAGAAGGCGCTTAGCAGAAGTCTGAAGGGCTACAAGTACATCAACAACCCTCTTGGCTTTACAGTACGAACAGCCCGAAATGGCTTGACTCATGTTCGGAAAGACCCGAAGTGCCTCGGTGTCGACCTCCTCGTCCGAGGGGTGCTTCAAAGCCTTTGCTGCCCAAGGGGCCCCCCCAACTTAGGGTTTAGGGTTTAGGGTTTAGGGTTTAGGGTTTAGGGTTTAGCCCACATTTCAGGCTCAGAAAAAACCTGGACCTCAGCACGTCACAGCTTGTGGCGTGGGAAGATGAAGGCTTCTAGGGCTCGCGGGGCT